CCTAACTTTGTGTACCCCCTAAGGTGTAACCCACTACAGCCTACACAATATGAACATACAATGTTTGACAGCTCCCGCTCCTCCTCGTCCTCATCCATCTGCTTCAACTCAGCAATCCGCTCCCTCCAGATCCCCTCCACCACCCGCCACGTCTCGTCGCTCACCGCCTGCGCCTGCTGCGGCCTTGGCGCCCCGTGAATGCCCCACCTGCCCTGGTGCACTGGCGCTGTGTACTCGTCTATCGGCCGCGATGGGGACTGTTATTTGGAGGGAAAAGAGAGGGGGATGAGAGGAGATGTAGGGGCACAATGGGAACGGGGGGAGGTGGACAAAGTACTATAATGACACACACGCACACGCACACACGCACACGCATATACACCTTCACTGTAAACCATACAGCACACGCGCATAGAACTCTCCTACCACATACCTGGGGGAACTTGGGATCAGCATCATAGATGTTGTGAATGGCATGGCATGGCATGGCATGGCATGAGTACACACCAGGCATGGCACGATTGCTTCCTCCCCTCCCCCCTCAAACACACACCAGTGGGAACTTTGGAGCAGCGTCATAGATGCTATGGATGGCATGGCACGGCATGAGTACATTGCATGCACACTTTTCATACTCCGCCTTCTCAACACACCCCCACACACACACTGTGACACACTTGCGGGACCTTAGGAGCAGCATCATAGATGGTGTAGATGGCGTCTCTTGTTGCCCTCCTCCCCCTTCCAACCATATAAACAAACACCAGTGCACCTATACTCCCCCTTGTCTTGTCCCCCCCTCTCCCCCACATACACATTTGTGGGAACTTGGGAGCAACATCAATGTTGTGGATGGCAGGAAGGTATGTACGCACCCCCCGTCACCCCCAACACACCCACACACAAATCTGTATTGCAAACCAAACTCCGGATATGCACACCTGCGGAAACTTAGGATCAGCCAGAGCAACCGGATCCGAAGCAAGAAGCGGCGTGACAGTCATGCGATCACGGAAGAAGCACTGAGACGCGTCCGAGTGCAGCGTGAAGGAGAGCGACACGTCAGCCGTAGGTACAGCCTGAGGAGTAATTACACAAGTACCTAAACTGGAAGCACAAGCACCTACAGTAGCAACAGGCAAGGATTCTAGGTTATGAACACGCGAGCAAACAGATCCAGCAGTACTATAGTCAACATCGGCATACATCACAGAATCAGATCACAAAACATTAAGCAACTCTACCGCAGACATGTCAAACAATGCCGTACCAAGGGAGCGAGCCAGCGGGGCACAGTCCGGAGCGGGGCCAAAGCCGTACTGCGCACGGAGGCGGTCCGTGAGCTGCGCAAAGCACTGACCCGGAGGGTGAAGACGTCCACAGGGGCGACCCTGACGAGTGCCAGTCTGAACAATGTACGGGCATGGGGTAGGGGCGACATTACGCGACGTCCAGCTGGGTGGGCCACCCCCACTTCCAGCGCTCCCTGGTTCACCAGGTCCCCACTGCTGAGATTGCTGCTGCACCTGCCGCTGTACTTGCTGCTGCGTCTGTCCTTGCTGCTGCTGCTGTCCCTGCTGTGGCTGCTGCTGCTGGGACTGCTGCCGCTGCTGTGCCGTGTACCAGGCAGCCGCTCCAGCACCGCCTCCCGTTAAGCCCGCAGGCCCAATACCAACTCCAGTGCCGCCTCCACTAAATGCACTAGTGCCGCCACCACCACCGCCACTGCCTCCACCTCCACCGCCGCCACCACCCTTCCCCCTTTTCTTACCTCTCCTGGCTCGGGCCCGCCCACTAGCAACGGACACGGTTGCAGTCTCGTCAGAAGCAGGAGACGCAGTGGACACAAGAGAAGCAGTGAAGCTGGGGAGCTGTGGGACTGTACACCCATGAAAGAGCGGGGGAACTATGGCACCGGAAAAGGAGGCTTCAAAGAGGAGGTTGCTCTCGATGTCTTTGAGAGCTGCCTCAAGGGCGTCGATAGTGAGTGCACTAGGGTGCTTTTGAAGAAGCGCGTCGCGTACAGGTGCAAGGCGGTCAGGGAGGCTAGTGAGTATGAAGTAAATAGTAATTGGCATGGGTGGGGGGAGTAGTGCAAGCTCAGCCTCAGTACAAGCAGCACGGTATCTAGCGTCGAGCGAGCGCAGGTGGGTGACAAGGTCAGCCGTACAAGTAAACGCTCCTAGGTCGGGAAACAGAAACGGCATGAAGAGATGACCAAGCAAGGCGGAAGAGGGAGTGGAGTAACGGGTCTTAATCGCAACAAACAAGTCCTTGGCAGTTCGAAACTGGGTGAAGTGGGCCTCCTCAGTCTCGGGGAGAAGGTTGCAGAGCGCAATGCAGGCCGCAGCGTCACGAGCCCGCCATAGCGTCAGAGCTATGCGGGCCTTCTCAAAACATTCCCGTTCTGCTTCAGTAGGCTCAGCAGGCAGGGCAGCAGGGGGAGGAGGCGAAGGCAGGTCACCAGAGGCGTGCGCCCAGAGCATGTCACCATCCTGGCACTGACTCTTGAGGTACCACTCGGCGCGGAGAAGCCAGGTGGGAAAATCTAGCGCTCTACCCTCCGCATCGAAACGCAGGACTCGAGCTGGCGCCATGGAGAGTGCTCTACAGGACTAGGAACGAAAGGAAAGGAATGGCCGGAGCTAGAAGCGAACGAAGGGTGGACGGGCCTGAAAGGTTGCGAACAAAGCCATAGCGGCTAGTCCAGGAACAGCCGAAACTAACGACGAATCGAGGCTAGAGGGCCAGTCTAGAAACCAGCGAAGCGAGCAACAAACGGAGCCAGGAGGAGTAGTCTAGGAACACCAGTCACCACGAGGGGTGAAACCTAAGCCGCGACAGGAGACTCGACTGCTGCTGCCAGCCGGTGCCGGGAACGCCTATGGCAGTAGGCGTGGGAAGGACAGCAGGCACGGGTGGGAGCCGCTGGCGCTGCGTGTGCGGTGGGCAGAGTCGTGCTCGGTGGGCAGAGGCGCGTGCAACCGCAGTTGTGTGCGCGGTTGAGGTTGCACGTGCGGCTGCTGTTGCGCGGGCAGCTGCTGCCGTGCGTGCAGCTACGAGTGCACGGCTGCGGGCACGCTGCTGTGCGTGCGGCTGTCTGTGCGACCAGCTGCTAGGGTGCTGCTGTGTGCGCGGCTGCGTGCGAGGCTGCGCGTGCGGCAGCTGCTGCACGTGCGGCTGCAGCTGCGTGTGCTCGGGTGCAGCTGCTGTCGCGTGCGTGATTGGTCGCGGCGTGCGCGGCCGTTTCGTGCGTACTGCTCGCGCGCTGCCTATGCGTGCGCAAGTGGCTGCAGTCGCGTGCGCGTCTGCCGCTGACGAATGCGCGCGCGCGCGCGCGCGAGGGGCTATGCGGAGCTCGAATCGAGGGGCCGCGGAGGTCTTGCGGGGCGCGAAACGAGGGGCCTACGGGCCGTGAATCGAGGGGCAGTTGGGGCGCGAAACGAGGGGCCGCGGAAGCAATGCGGGCGCGAAACGCGGGACCCGCGGAGGCCTTGCGGAGCGCGAAACGAGGGGCCCGCGGAGGCCTTGCGGGGCGCGAATCGAGGGGCAGTCGGGGCGCGAAACAGGGGACCTTCGGGGCGCGAAACGCGGGACCCGCGGGGGTCGGCTATGGGGCGAATAGGGGGGGACCCGCGAGGGTGGTCTATGAGGCGACTGAAGGGGGACCCGGTTGAGAGGCGATTCGGGAAGCTGCCGGGATGCGCGCTAAGGACAGCGGACGGGAGAACGGCGGGATAGGTTCCTAGAAACTAACTAGGACTTGCGGAACACATTGCTCGACCCTGGTGCTTGTACCCTATTCAGAGAACCTCACTGTAGCGAAGCACAACTACGGCAAAATAAATAGAAGGTACCCAAATGAGAACAAAAGCACTGAACTACCTAACATCAACTCTGGTGACAATTCATTTCCATACGCCGTACCAAACTGCCCGACTGTAATCTAATTACAAGGTCGGTGGCACATTGAGGTGCAATTTGCTAGCACCTTTTCAATGCGATGCCCCAGATTACACCGCACAGCCCCTAACATGCCTTCCATCCAATCCAATACAAGCCACGTTGAACACGTAACCCTACATACGGTACATGAGAATTCTTAAGAGTTTAGTCAGGACAGGATGACTACCTTGGGTTGGGTGATTACGGTATTACCCTTATGCAGTAAAAAGGAAAAGAAAAAACCTACGCCCTGGTACCAGGGCTGGCCAGCCCTTGAAATGCTACTGCTCCCTCCCACTCCCTGTCAACCTGCCATGTGCCACCACTCCCACTCCCTCCCACTGCCAGTCACGCCCTAAACCCCGTCAAGCCTCCTTTCCAACCCCATTACCACAGACAACAAAACCCCTCACTAGAGCACCAGGTCAGGAGCTGCTGCTCCCTTTCCTCCTTGTCCCCCTCATGCCTCAGCTCTGCGATCCTCTCCCTCCACCAACCTCCCTTCCAGGTGAAGGAACAGGCAATACCACACCCCTCACTACAGCACCAGGTCAGGCAGCAGCAGCTGCTGCTCCCTCTCCTCGTCCTCCTCAACCATCTGCCTTAGCTCCGCGATTCGCTCCCTTCACATGCCCTCCACCACCCGCCACGTCTCATCGCTCACCGCCTGCACCTGCTGCGGCCTGGGCGCTCCAAAGGTGCCTCTAGAACCAACCAACCCTAAACCTCCTCTCCATGGCCCCAAAACCAGCGGGAAACAGGCATCGAACTGGCACATCCTACAGCACCAAGTCAGGCAGCAGCAGCTGCTGCTCCCTCTCCTCCTCATCCATCTGCCTCAACTCTGCAATCCGCTCCCTCCAGATTCCCTCCACCACCCGCCCCTCTTCCAGGTAACGGCACAGGCACTGCTACACACCCCTCCTAGAGCACCAGGTCAGCCAGCAGCAGCTGCTGTTCCCTCTCCTCCTCGTCCTCCCCATCTGCTTCAACTCAGCAATCCGCTCCCTCCACATCCCCTCCACCACCCGCCCTTCCTGGTAAAGGCACAGGCACTACCACAAATCCCTTCTAGAGCACCAAGTCTGGAAGAAGCAGCTGCTGCTCCCTCTCCTCCTCGTCCTCCCCATCTGCTTCAACTCAGCAATCCGCTCCCTCCACATCCCCTCCACCACCCGCCACGTCTCATCGCTCACCGCCTGCACCTGCTGCGGCCTGGGCGCTCCAAAGGTGGCGTAGCCGGAGTTGCCCGGGTGGAAGGTGGCTCTCCCGGGGAGGGAGGCGCCGTGAATGCCCCACCTGCCGGTGTGCACTAGCACTGCGTACTCATCTATCGGCCGCACTGGGGGCTGTTATTTGAAGGGGGGGGGGGGGAGGAAGATAGAGTGGGGAAAGAGGGGTATGGAAGGGAGGGAGGCGCCGTGAATGCCCCACCTGCCCTGGTGCACCAGCACTGGGTACTCATCTATAAGTCGCACTGGGGGCTGTAGTATGGGAGGGGGGGAAGAGGGGAGGGGAAAATGAAGGGACACACGGGGTATGGAAGGGAGGGAGGCGCCGTGAATGCCCCACCTGCCCTGGTGCACCAGCACTGGGTACTCATCTATAAGTCGCACTGGGGGCTGTAGTATGGGAGGGGGGGAAGAGGGGAGGGGAAAATGAAGGGGCACACGGGGTATGGAAGGGAGGGAGGCGCCGTGAATGCCCCACCTGCCCTGGTGCACCAACACTGGGTACTCATCAATAGGTCGCACTGGGGGCTGTTTGGTGTGTGGTGGGAAGTGGGGTATGGGGGAATGGAAGAGAGAATGGGAAATGGAGGGGGGGAGGCGCCGTGAATGGGGGGGCTGTTTGGTGGGGGAAAGGGGGGGGTGGTTTGGGAGGCCAATGGAGCGAGAATGGAGGCCAATTGAGGGAGAATTCTCAAAAAGGGGGGGCTGGTTTGGGAGGCCAATGGAGCGAGATTCGGGAATGGAAAGAGAGGCGATGGTTTTTGAGAATTCTCAAAAACCAGATTCGGGAATGGAGAGTGAGGCGATGGAGAATGAAGCGGGAAGGAATGGAATGGGAGGAATAAGCTAGCACCAATTACCATCGGACCTAACACGCACACCTGCAACTATTTACTGGACACGCAAATATGCACCTGTCACACGCACACACACACCTGGGGGAACTTGGGAGCAGCATCGTAGATTTTGTGAATGGAGTCAAGACATGCGCGCCCTCCCTTCCTACCCCCCTCCCCTTCCCAACACACACACACACACACACACACACACAGAACTCCCCCCTCCCCTCGACACACACACACCTGGGGGAACTTGGGAGCAGCATCGTAGATTTTGTGAATGGCGTCTCCTGTCACCTCGCCCTCCTCCAGCAGACGCTCTGAGTGGGTTCAGGGGGATGGGGGTGCGGTTGAGGGGGGTATGAGGGTTTGGGAGTGACAGATGGGAATGCAGTTACCATAGAAAGCTGGATGGGAAAAAAAAAAACAAAAAAAAAAAAAAAGAAGCAAGCAAACAAACAAACAAAAGTGGGGGGAGGGAACTGGGGAGGGCGGGCAGGAAGGGGAGAGGGGGGGTGTGTTCTTAGCTGCGACGATGTCCACGCCTAATCTGTACTCCCTAGAACAGCATTCACGAGTATATCTCAACAATTAAGAAAATCGGTAAAAGAAAAGAAAAGAAAGTAAGAAAACAGAAGAAAAAAAATCTTGGGTCACTGCTCTCAAGTATCCGCTTATTACCTGCAATTGTGTCCACAGCCGATCTATACTCTTTAAGAACAGCCTCGCATTTCGCCTTGGAGTAGCGCATGTATTCCTCCCTTAGAGCAATGACCTTTGGAATGAGCTGCATGAAAAGAGAAGGGGCGGGGAGAGGAGAGAGGAGAGGTATGGTATGAGTGCTTGCGAGTATACATACATATGAATATGTATGATGTTCAATACAACACCATGTAAAAATCCTATTACACTGTGTAAACCACCTTCCCCACAGCGCTCATGCTGCTCCCCAGAATCACATACACCACTGCTATATGCTATATACACACATATATATATATGTATATATATATATAAGTATATGAACATGTACGTATATATCATCAAGTACACTCACGTGGGTCGTGAGATCCTTCTGTGTATCGTAAACCACCTTCCCCAGGGCGCTCATGCCACTCCTCAGGACCAAATGCACCACTGCATATTTGATAATATAAAAACATTTTATATAATTAATTAACTACACTCACATGCGGCATGAGGTCCTTCTGTGTCTCGTACACCACCTTCCCCAGGGCGCTCATGCCACTCCGCAGGATGACATAGTCTGCCAGTTGCACGGCCTCCCTGTATGCCACCCCTGCCTGCCAGCTCACATTCGCCGCTCCAAACACCATGCGCTCCATGATGGCGGCTGCAAGGCAGGTGGGGTGAGACGGAGGGATGGGGAGAGGACAGCATGTGGGGTGGGGAATCAAACTAGCTGCACCACATCTCTGTAGGCCGCCACACTACCCCCCCCTGCCAACTCACGTTGGCAACACCAAACACCATGCGCATTATGACGGCAGCTGTTTGGTGGGTGGAGTAAGAAGTTGGGTGAGGGAAAGGGGAAGGAATAGGCAGGAAGTGGAGCGAGCACACCCCCACATACCCATGTAAAACGCCCCAAACCACACTGAATAGACCCCCCCAACCACAATATCACATTGAACTCCAACTACTCACGTGCAAATGCACAATGGCACAATGGCTTCCAGCATGCCCTGCTTGACTGCAAAGCAGCGGTGGCACGAGAAGACACGCTCTTACCCATGTAGAATGCCCCCAACCGCACTGAAACGCCTCAAACCACGCTAGATTCCCGTAAACCACTCTGAGTCGCATCACTCACGTGCAAAGGCGCGCACAATAGCGTCCAGCATGTCCTGCTTGACGGTGTTAAGGCAGCGGTGGCGCTAGCAGACATGCTCTTATACATCTCGGACCGCACTGAATTCCCCCAGACCACACCGAAAAGGCCCAATACCACAGCTCAAACCCCAAAACCGCACTAAACTCCTGGTACTCACGTGCAAAGGCGCGCACGATAGCGTCGAGCATGTCCTGCTTGGCAGCAAAGCAGCGGCGGCGTGAACAAGCATACACCCAATTATCCTTAAAAAGGTTCCAAACCACGCTCGAATGCCCCAAACCGGATCGAGATGCCTCCCAACCGCACTAAATTTCCCCAAACCGCATTGAACCGCATCACTCACGTGCAAAGGCGCGCACGATTGCATCGAGCATATCCTGCTTCACCGCAAAGCAGCGGTGGCGCACCCTCTCGTGCTCCAGGTTGGGGAGAGGATCAACGTTGTCTAGAGAGGTCTGGTGGGGAGGGAACGCGGGGACCAAATAGAAGACATGGTGAATAGGGGAGAGGTTTCATGTCCTGCTTGACTGCAAAGCAGCGGTGGCGCACCCTCTCGTGCTCCAGATTAGGAAGGGGGTCCACATTGTCTAGAGAGGTCTGTTGGGGAGGGGAGGGGCGGAGAGAGGGTGGGGGAAAAGGGGTGAGGCATGGTGGGGAGAGAGAGGGAAGGAGCACTTATGAGCTGCAGCGGTGGCGTACCCTCTCGTGCTCCAAGTTGGGAAGAGGATCCACATTGTCAAGAGACGTCTGGTGGGGAGGGAGGGTCAGGGGGATGAAAGGGGGTGCGGCGTGGTGGGAAGGGGTGGTGGTGGGTGGAGCAGTGGTGGCGCACCCTCTCGTGCTCCAAGTTGGGAAAAGGATCAACATTGTCAAGAGACGTCTGGTGGGGAGGTAAGGGGCAGGCACGGTTAGAACAGGGGAGGGGATGGTGTTTGGAGCAGCGGTGGCGCACCCTCTCGTGCTCCAGGTTGGGGAGAGAATCCACATTGTCGAGAGAGGGAAGGGGAGATAGTCGGGGAAAAGAGAGTGGAAGGTTTGAATACCGGGGGGGGGTGGTGGTGCGTGGAGCAGAGGCAAGTCCGGCAATGACACACGAGCACACACATATACAGTAGGCACATGCATTCATTCAAAACAGGCACTCACCCGCTTGATCGGCCCTGATCTGCCTGGCAGAGCGCACTCGAGCACGGCAATGGAGGCTTCATGGTAAGCCACAGGCACACCCAGCACAGGCACACGAACACAGACATACCATACTTGCACACATTCGAACCCCACTCCACTCACCCGCTTGATCGGCCCTGAGTTGTCTGGCAGGGCGCACTCCAACACAGCGATGGAGGCCTCACGGTAAGCTGCCCTCATGCGCACCTCCCTGCTGTCTAACACGTCCTCCTCCCCTGTCTTGAACTCGCCCGCTTGCTGCAGCAGCAAGGAGCAAGGCACACGGGAGACACAAGGAGGTTGCGCGACGCGAGGGGTTAAGGGTTATGCTTCACGGTAAGCTGCTCGCATGCGCACCTCCCTGCCTGCTGTCCAACACGTCCTCCTCGCCTGTCTTGAACTCGCCCGCTTGCTGCAGCAAGAAGCAAAGGCACATGGGGGGGCACACAAGGGGGATGTGAGAGGGGATAAAGGATTGAGCCTCGTGGTAAGCCGCTCTCATGCGCACCTCTCTGCCGTCCAACACGTCCTCCTCACCCGTCTTGAGCTCTCCGGCTTGCTGCAACGGACAAGGGGGGTACTGCCTCATGGTAAGCTGCTCGCATGCGCACCTCCCTGCTGTCCAACACGACCTCCTCTCCTGCAGGAGATAATTGGGGGGGTGCAGAGGCATGGGGGCATGGGGAAGGTAGGGGGATCAGTGTTAGGCCTTGCGGTAAACTGCTCGCATGCGCACCTCCCTGCTGTCCAACACGTCCTCCTCGCCCGTCTTGAACTCTCCCGCTTGCTGCACGCAGGAGTTGGAAGGGACACGGGGATGAGGGGCACAGTAGGGGTAGGAGGAGCGTAAGGAGTTGGGCCTCACGGTAAGCCGCCCGCATGCGCACCTCCCTGCTGTCCAACACGTCCTCCTCGCCTGTTTTGAACTCGCCCGCTTGCTGGAAGGGGCAAGGGGAAACACAAGGGCGGAAGGACAGTAAGGGGAGAAGCAAGCAGTTGAGCCTCTGCGGTAAGCTGCCCGCATGCGCACCTCCCGGCTGTCTAATACGTCCTCCTCCCCCGTCTTGAACTCTCCAGCTTGCTGCACGGAGGGGTATGGGAGAACACAAGTTAAGGCATGCAGCAGGCACTAGAGAACCATGCGTTGACCAGGTCAACGCATCAAAGACCCCCTCACACAGTTAACAGCTTGCAGCAGCTCTTCCCTCAAACTCATAAATTCACGCGTTGACCAGGTCAACGCGTCAACGACCCACTCACCCAGTCCATTCATGGCTTGCAGCAGCTCTTCCCTTGCGATCTCATGTCTTTGTCCTTTCAATCACCAATACCTCTAGAAACCCTGTGTTGACTCAGTCAAACCTCCCCCCCCACCCCCCCAACCCAACCACTCACCCGGTCAATAGCTTGTAGCAGCTCCTCCCTCTCAATCTCATCTTTGTCCTTCCTAATTGCCAGGATGGCCGCCTCGTTTCTAAGAGTGGTGTGATATGGTGGGGAGGGATGGGGAGGGGTTGGATAGAGAGGAAAGGGGTGGCCAGGGTGTAAAGGGGTTAAAAGGGGGAGGAAATTGGGGTAAGGCAGGATGTAATGCAAAGAGAAGGCGCTGCCAAGTGCGGTGTGGTGGGGGATGAGGGTTGGCAAGGCTGCCCCTTGGTTTGGTGCCCCTTATCGTTATTAATATTACAATGTAATCTGTACCATAGATCAGACCACTGGATATTTTTTCTTGTATTACCACACATCCACAAAATTACTTACAGGATGTTCATAAGCTCTGCTACTGCTCCACTGTAGTCGGGTGTAGCAGCGGCTATCTCCCTTGGAAGCATTATTTTTGAAAAGAATGCACCATCCGAAGGCACTCACAGAATGTTCATGAGCTCGGCTCCGCTGTAGTCGGGTTTAGCTGCGGCTATCTCCCTCAGGGGGAGAATTCTTGAGCCTGGTCCAGCAGCAGACTCCAAAGATAACTCACAGGATGTTCATGAGCTCGGCTCCGCTGTAGTCGGGTTTAGCTGCGGCTATCTCCCTCAGTAGCAATCTTGAGCCAAGTTGCAGGGCAGGCAGCTGTATACAAGTAACAAGTTACAACAATCTACACTACAAAGCACTCACAGGATGTTCATGAGCTCGGCTCCGCTGTAGTCGGGTTTAGCTGCGGCTATCTCCCTCAGGAGGAGAATTCTTGAGCCTGGTCCAGCAGCAGCTGTGGCTGCGGCTATAAATGGAAAACATTCCCGAAATAACTTACAGGATGTTCATAAGCTCCGCTCCACTGTAGTCGGGTGTAGCAGCGGCTATCTCCCTCAGGAGCTTCAGCTTCTCCTCTTCCGACTTGAACGCCTTGTTGCGCGCATGCACCTTGAGGACTGAGAATCGCCCCTCCTCTGTAGGCAGACCCACGCGCACCACCTTGTCAAACCGCCCTTTGCGCAGCAGCGCAGGGTCGAGCATGTCTAGTCGGTTAGTCGCCCCAATGACCAGCACCTGGGAGGGGAAAGAAGAGGGGGATGGCAGGTTCACACTAGGAGTGAAGCACGGTATGAGCCAACACCACCACCTTGTCAAACCGCCCCTTGCGCAGTAGAGCGGGGTCCAGCATGTCTAGACGGTTGGTGGCGCCAATGACCAGCACCTGGAGGGGAGGAGGGGGTGGGAAGCAGGGAAGAGCAGGAGGAAACGTGAGGGGAACATGAGGGAAAAACGTCAGCGCAACAGGGGGAGGAGCAGCAGCGCAGGGCCGAGCATGTCGAGACAGTTGATGGCCCCGATGACCAGCACCTGGAGGGGAGAAGAGTGGGTAGCAGAGGGTAGGAAGGTGGGTGGGGGGTGACACAGAGGGGATGAGTGCAAACCGCCCTTGCGCAGCAGCGCAGGGTCCAGCATGTCCAGTCGGTTGGTGGCGCCAATGACCAGCACCTGGAGGGGGGTAGACGAGGAGTAGAAGAGGGGTAACAGGAAAAAACAGGACTGAAGAGTGAAGAACAAAATGCATCACTCCCCACGCGCCACGCACCTTGGCCTGTTCTCCAATGTCACTCTCCCTTTGCTACAATTACGCATGCACCTCGGCCTGGTTCTAGTAAAACCCATCCAGTTCTGGAAGATCTGAATGAAACCCTGTCTGCCCACCAGGTACTGAGTGCTCTGCTCCCTACCGCCCCCTCCCATGTGCCACCTCCCTCCCTCATCACCGCGCCTCTATCTACCATCATGCACCTCGGCCTGGGTCTCTTGAAACCCATCCAGCTCTGTGAGAATCTGAATCAGCCCCTACCTGCGTCCAGTGCAGAGCATATGCCCCACCCTCCCTCTTGCATCACCGCTCTCTACCATCACGAACCACTACGATCACGCACCTTGGCCTGGTTCTCTTGAAACCCATCCAGCTCTGTGAGAATCTGAATCAGCCCCTGCTCCCGCTCAATATTGCCCTGTATCAAAACACGTGTTTGCACAGTGGGACATTGGAAGAAAAAAGAAGCAAAGAAGAGAAATGAGAGGAAGAGAAACGTTCGCAGGAAGACACGGAGGGGGGGAGGGGGGGGGGGGGGGGGGGGGGGGTGGGTTGAGAGATAACGATCAAGGAGCAAGTGGGAGGGAGCACCGAATTCTCTGGTGGAAAACGAAAGAGGAGAAACAATCTGGGAAACGAATTCTCTCACGGAGAAACAATCTGCAAGACTCAGACTCCCTCACTCGCTCCCTCCCTCACTCCCCCCACCCACTCACCCCGCCCTGGTCGCTGGCCGTGCCTCGCTTGGACCCGATGGCATCGATCTCATCAATGAATATGATGGCCGGGGCGAACTGTTGGGAGGATATAATTATGGCACAGGCTACTGCCACACTCCCACCCCCACACTCTCCCCCGCTCACTCCTCACCCACTCACCCCTGACCCTCTTCCGCCGCTCACTCACCCCGCCCTGGTCGCTGGCCGTGCCTCGCTTGGACCCGATGGCATCGATCTCATCAATGAATATGATGGCCGGGGCGAACTGGCGTGCTCGAAAAAACAGATCTTTCACCCTGGAGGCTGCAACCCCTGCAAACATCTGGTGGGTGACAGTGGGGCAGGGAGGAGAGAGAGACGATTGCATCGATTTCATCAATGAAGATGATGGCTGGAGCGAACTGGCGCGCTCGAAAGAACAAGTCCTTCACTCTTGATGCTGCTACACCTGCGAACATCTGCATGATGTGGGAGAAGGGAACGACAGTCTGGGGAAGAGAGAGGCAGAGAGAGGCAGAGAGAGGCAGAGAGAGGCAGAGAGAGGCAGAGAGAGGCAGAGAGAGGCAGAGAGAGGCAGAGAGAGGCAGAGAGAGGCAGAGAGAGGCAGAGAGAGGCAGAGAGAGGCAGAGAGAGGCAGAGAGAGGCAGGCAGGGAACGAATGAAGTTGACGGCTGGGGCGAACTGGCATGCTCTGAAGAAAAGGTTGGGAGGGACAGGACGGGAGGGATAAGGGGACACAGGGGCACAGGGGGGAGACATAAGGACGGAGAGGAAGGGAGGCCAGGAAGAGGGGCGCGGGGACAACAACAGGCAGTGGGATGAGGATGATGGCTGACTGAAACAAGCTCCTCCCTCTCCTCCCAGCTCTTCTTGCTCTGATGACATACCACCCTTCCGAAGCCCCGAGCTCACCTCCACAAATTCAGCACCAGATACAGAGACGAGTCACGAACGGCACCCCTGCCTCTCCAGCAATAGCCTTCCTCTCACTCACCCTTCCAAACCCCCGCAAACTCACCTCCACAAATTCAGCACCAGAAACCAAAAAGAACGGCACTCCTCCTGCCTCAACAGACCTAGCGAGAGCCTCGACTCACCTCCACGAATTCAGCACCAGAAACAGAAAAGAACGGCACACCTGCCTCCCCGGCAATGGCTTTTGCCAGCAGCGTTTTCCCGTTCCAGGCGGGCCGAGCAGAAGCACACCTTTTAGATTATCACACACATTTCCTTTCCAGCCCACCCAAACTCACCTCTACGAATTCAGCACCCGATACAGAGAAAAACGGCACCCCAGCCTCAACAGACCTAGCAAGAGCCTTCGACTCACCTCCACGAATTCAGCACCAGAAACAGAAAAGAACGGCACCCCAGCTTCCCCAGCAATGGCCTTCGCCAGCAGCGTTTTTCCCGTTCCGGGCGGGCCGAAAAGAAGCACGCCCTTCGGGCAGTACACGCCCAGGTCCTCGAATTCTTTGGCTGCCCGGAGGATCCGCACCACCTCTTGCAGCTCTCGCTTCACGTAGTCCTGCCCGGCGAAATCGTCAAACGTGATTCCCGTCTTCTCCTCTGCTGAGATATAGCGTGCCCTGGGGGTTAAAGGTAGGGTGTTGAATGGGGTGGCGAGTGGTGAGACGGGGTCGAGAAGGGTGGGGCATGGTGCAATGTGGTGGAGAGCGGTGAGGTGTGGTTGGGTCCGCACCACCTCTTGCAGCTCTCGCTTCACGTAGTCCTGCCCGGCAAAATCATCAAACGTGATTCCCGTCTTCTCCTCTGCTGAAATGTACCGTGCCCTGTTGGTTGAGATCAAGACGAGGGAAGTAAAGGGGTTGGATGGGGTGGGGAGTGGTGAGATGAGGTGAAGAAGGGTGGACCGTGGTGCAGTGCGGTGGAGAGCGGTGGGGCGTGGTGGGGAATCCGCACCACCTCCTGCAGCTCTCGCTCCTGCCCGGCGAAATCGTCAAACGTGATTCCCGTCTTCTCCTCTGCTGAAATGTACCGTGCCCTGGGAGATGAAAACGAGAAGAGGGAAGTAAGGGGGTTGAAGCACAGCGGAAACAGCACCCTCTTTCTCCAACCCCACAGGATACAGCAAGCCACTCACCCCATTACTCACCTGCTCTGCCCCATAGTGCCTAGATCCGGATTGAACACAGCAGTAAAGCTTCCTGTGACTGCTCCTCGGCCTCTCTAACCCCACATGGTAAGGACAGTCAGTCACTCAATTCCACACTCACCTGCTCTGTCCCATGGTCCCCAGGTCGGGATTCAATACAGCAGTGAGCTTCCTGTGGCTGCTCCTCGGTCTCTCCTCCAGCTTAGTCGGCTGGTACAGAGGAAACAGCACCCTCTCTAGCCCCACATGGTATGGACAGTCAGTCACTCACTCCCTCACACACCTGCTCTGCCCCATGGTGCCGAGATCAGGGTTGAGAACAGCAGTGAGCTTCCTGTGACTGCTCCTCGGTCTCTCCTCCAGCTTGGTGGGTTGGTACAGTGGAAACAGCACCCTCTCTAGCCCCACATACAGCCCACACGCCAGTGCCAGTCTCATCCCCCACGTAGCCGCCAGCTGAATAGTCCCCACTGTGCTGCCTAGGAGCCCGGCCGAGGAGGCCGGGAGGAGCGACGGAAAGCGAGAGGAGGAGGAAGGGGAGGGGAGGGCGGTGGGGGCGGGGGCTGTGGAGGTGGAGAGGGTTGAGAGGGTTGAGGGGGCGGAGGGGGAGGAGGGGTTGGTGAAGGGCGCGGGGGGGAAGGCGGAGGGGCGGTTGGAGAGGGTGATGTGGGCGAGTTGGGTGCGGAGGAGGGACCAGACCTCGGAGTGCACGTCTGCTGGCATGTGTCGCACCCTGTGCTTCAACCACACGACCTGGTAAGGAGGGGGAGGGGAGCACACCCCACACAGCGGCACAGCAGAAGGGGTGGCATAGAGTCAAGGGGAGGGCAGTGGGCAGGAGAGACCAGACCTCTGAGTGCACGTCTGCTGGCATGTGCCGCACCCTGTGCTTCAACCACACGACCTGCGAGGACAGGAAGAGAAGACGAGGAGGGCACACAGCAGCACAGGGTGAAGAGAAGGCAGTGAGCAGGAAGGAGTAAGGCGGAATAAGGATCCAACCTGTGAGCTGAGTGCACAACAGAGAAACCATCACACACTGACCCCTAACCTTCCCCCCCACCACAAAAGAAGAAGAAGAAAAAAACTTCACAAGCTACCAAGCGCCTTATACGAATTTTCACAAGTGTATTCTGCGTTTACCTGGTCTGGAAGACCCATGTGCCCCACCGTCTCTGCCTCTTCACCCGCCTCCTCGCCTTCTGATCCTGCTCCTGCTGCTGCTCCTTCCGCTGCCTTTGGTGCTGCTTGTCGCACTGTCTCTTTCCCCTTCTTTCTCGCCCCGTCTCCCCGTTTCACTTCCAGCCCAAGGTCTTTGGCAGGATGGGGAAGAATCACTGGCGGGGGTTGGAAATAGGGGAAAGGGAGGAAAACGGACAGCGGTCATTCTGCTGCCTTTGGTGCTGCTTGCCGGGTCTCTTTCCCCCCTCCTCGCCCCCTCACCCCGCTTCATCTACAGCCCAAAGTCCTCTTTCTCACTTACCTTCCACAAATCGCCCGTTGTCGCCGTAGTTGACAAATTTCACCCTCCCAATCTGCAGCAGCGCCCAGAAATCCGCAAAGCTCCTCCCGTTCGAGTCCATCCAAACTCCTCCCGCCCGCAGTGTGATGCCGTGCTTCCTCCTTCTCACTCACCTTCCACAAACCGGCCATTATCGCCGTAATTCACAAACTTGACCCTCCCCATCTGCAGCAGCGCCCAGAAATCCGCAAATTCCACGTCAGCACCAGGCAGGGGGTCCCACTGGCTGCCGCGGAGCCTTCCCAGAAGCTTCTTCGCCGCCCGCTTCCACCCGATCCTCGCCACCTCGTCCCGCTCTGCCTGGATCCGAAGCTGCCTCGCAACTTCCTCCTGCTGATTAAAACTCTGCAGCTGACGTTTCCTTAAAGCCTGAGGAGGGAGTGGAGCAAAGGGTATTTCAGGTCTGCGTTTTTCACACTTGTTTTTTCAGTGTTTTTCCTTTGCTTAAACGTCCTTTCAACTACTGCAGCCCTTCGAACATGAGTCAAGGTGAACCTTGGGACAGCTGACGTTTCCTTAACGCCTGAGGAGGGAGCGGAGCAAAGGGGAAGGAAGGTTCGGCAGGCATAGAAAGGAAGGGGGTGAGGGTGGGGAGGGAGAGGGTGGAGGGTGAAGGGGAGGAGGGGATTAGGTGTGTTTGAGAGGTTGTGAGACGAAACACGCACCAAACCCTCCTTCAGATGTCACCTGCTTTCTCCAGAACTGGACCAAACCTTCACGTGAATGTTCAGATGTCACCTGCTGTTGAAGGTGAGTAATTTGAGAGCCTTCAACAGCATCAACTCACCTTCCGCTGTCCGTTTCTCATCTTGCATCACTAAACCCTCTATAAACCCTCGCCGTTAATGTCTACCCGCTTCCGTGGCCTGCTGCCTCCTCTTTGGCCCTTCCCACTGCTTATGCGAAATGCGCCCATGCGAAATTTGTGCACGCGGAATTTCGCCAATGCGAAATCCTCGAAAAGTGCTTCGCTCACCTCGAACAACGCGAGCTGCTTGTCGTCTTCCATCCCCGCCCGTCCCTTCGCCTCGGCAACTCCCGAACCTAGAGCTGGCTCGGCTGCTGCTGCCGAACCTGAAGATGGCAAGCCAGAGCCCGAGCCTGATGTCGAACCTGCCTCGGCTCGGGCGGTGAGTCTGGAACGAGAGATCTTTTGGGATTGACGCCCATGCAGGGCTGGTCGAGTGGCTGTACGCGGGGCGCTTGTAACGAAGGTTGAACTGCTCGATCCGACATTGCAAGAGGTCGTACGCGCTACAACGGCGAGTGGCGCAGATTGAGCAATTGAACTCGATACAAGCAGGTGCCTACAAGCGCCGCAAGAAGCGGTCGGTTTCGCATTGAACGGTGTAGGAAAACGACGAGATGGCACTGGAGCTACGATCACTGGCGACTGGACTACAATGTGCGACACTGACAGTGATCGCGAGGCCGCCATTGGGATCTGCTTTCGCGACGCGACACCGAGAAGGGAGACCTCAAACCGCGAAACTTAGGATATGCTATTCGCGACTCTGGTATCATGCGAAGCCGTCCTGCTCAGCAGCGAGCCGCGAAGAACAGTTGAGCACGAGAAGGTGCTCGGAAACGGTTCGTTACCGCCTGATAAGGCGATAAGGAGCGATTCCCGCGTAACAGACGCTGAAATGCGTGTGCGAGATGTCGGAGGATTTTCAGACTACAGTGGGGGTGGATGAGGCTGACAGGCCGTGTGACACTAACGGAATGGTGGAAAAGGTTTGAAAGGCATATAACTGCAGTTTCAGAAACTGGTCCCTAAAACCAGGAAAAAAAAATCCATTGAAGAATCTTTATTTATGTACAATGAGATTTTATAGTGATCTTTTAGGCAACATGACATCATCGTGACTTGATGAATACATGGTAGACGGACGCTGTAACAAGCATTTCGAAGCCTATAATTATGGTCTCAAAAAAAATCATTTCGGAATAAACATTTATTCAGACAGGCCAACCTGTTAATAAAATTATTTCTTCTAATAAACTCACGGTGTTGAGCTTCATAAGACTTTCGCAAATATCCAATCCTTTATGTGCGTCGTGTAGTGGAGGTGTTACAACTCCTAAGCGATTTCTCCTTTTTCCGAAGCAACAGCAAACCAAACCCTAGCCAGTCCCTTCAAGCTAAAGCCGAGATTTCTTTCTTGTCTCACGTCCTCCTACGGCGAGGTCTTCAGTTGTCCGTCAGATCCGGAACGTCCGTGGTTCTTAGTCTTTTTAGCTTCACGGTTCTCTACTTTTTTAGCATAGGGCGTAGTGTCTGGACTGCTAAGAACCGTTAGCGCACGTCTCCACCGTTCGCACGCCCTTAGGGGCCCGATCTTAGTTTCTGGGAGAGGGACCTCGAGTCTCGCCAAGATGCCTTCCGTGGTGAACATCGCGGAGGCGGCAGAAGCGGCGAAGCGGGTCGCCGCCGCCTTTATGGCGGCGCGCGCTTCCGGCCAGTCCGAGGAGCAAGCCGCTGCCGCCGCGTCGTCCGTAGCCAATCCGGAGCCAGTTAAAACGCCGTCGTTCGTCATTCCGAAGAACAAAATCTCGATTCCCGGGCAATCTTTGGCGATCGTGCCGGTTGGGGGAAGCGTTACGAAGGCTGGTGAGGAGGCGGAGGACGATAAGCCGAAGCGGCCTCGGAAGTACCGGTGGGGGCCAGATCCGCTTTTGGATCCCGCGACGCGCAGGGGTCGCGCGCTGGCCATTCAGGTACGCGAGCTGACTTAGAAGCTAGATAATCTGTGCTTCTATGCCTTTGTGTTTTCATAAGATCTCAGGCCGATCTGTGTGCGTTCAGCAAGACTGTGTTTCTCTCGACAATTTTTTTTACGGCGAGGTTTTTTTATTTCCGTCTTTTGGCAAAATCATTGTCTCTCATTCTTTTCGTCTTAAAATATTGGAATATCATGTTTCCATATTATTCCTTTTTCCCTTCTGCAGACGCGTATCGAGCAGATCTCGTCGCAGCAGGAGCTGATCACGCTGGAGATCAACGAGAACGAGGTCACGCGCTCTCAGTTCCGGCTGATATATATATTTTTTTAATAACAGTTTTTTTATCTTTCTCTTTCTTTTTTTTTTTTCTCTGTGTTACATCCTGCAGACGCGAATCGAGCAGATTTCGTCGCAGCTGGAGCTGAACACTCTGGAGATCGACGAGAACGAGGCCACGCGCTCGCCGTCCCCGCCGCCGATCTACGATAACATGGGCCAGCGCCTCAACACCCGCGATGTACGTTATGCCTTTATCCATCATCAAACACAGTTTCGATCCTATGTTATTAATATTTTCAATTCCGCTTAAAAGGCTAAGTGTTGGAATAGATCGTTTGTCTACGACAACATCACATCGCATCGCAACATTGTTATTAGCAGCTTTAGTCCCCGCTTGCCAGTCTCGTTTTCGCTTGTCGTGTTGAGATTTTTTTCAATCGTCTGACTCAAATATGCTAATTCTGATATTTTCTCCTCGCCTGTTTTGTACTGTAATTTTTTTGTCTTCCAGCAAAGGAAGCGGGATCAGCTTGACATTGAAAAGCGCAGAGCAATAGGTATGGCCATTCTAAATTACATGCTCGCTCTTTTCCTGTTTCCCTTTGTTGTCCCATTATGTCGTCAGTATCTGTTTGTTTTAGTGGAACTCAACAACACTGTTTGGCTTCTCATGCTGTTTCTTTTGCTCTTTTTTTTTCCAACTCTTTTGTAATATTTTCGTACAGCTGAGTGTATCAATCTGAACCCCCACTTCAAGCCGCCTGCGGGGTACAAGCCTGTGCTCGAGGAGGCAAAACTCTTCGTGCCGGTAAGTTGCAAGAACGAATTTTGTGAAGTATCGGTTTCGAACTTCCCGCAAAGCTGTTGCTGTTTTTGTGTTTCCTTCGGTTAGCTTTGCTGGACAAGTTCTTGTCGAGCATGGCTTTCCTAGTTCGGTAGCGTTTCTTGCTGTCAGCCGAGTCTGACCTCAGCCTCTACAGCGTGGAAATAAGTGCTCAGGTCCGCAAATGGTGTGTACGCGTTAGAAGAAGAGTCGGTAGTAGGGCAAATTTAGCCTGCTAAGTTCGAGCCAGAGAAAACCTAATTTTCACATTTCCAAACAATCCTTCTGTACTTCCCCGTGTCATGCGTAAGCCTGCTTTTCTTCGCAAGTGTTTTGCCAGTGGCGGTTGATGACATCCTTTAACGCGTACAGTTGTCCATAAAGGCGTGGTAATCTCTCTGGCCTACACTGCATCCTCGATATTGCTATTTCGCCCCTCCCTTGTCCCTGTTGCTGTTTCGGTTGAAAGTTTCTGACGTTTTGATTTCTTTCTCTGCTGTGTTTTTTCGCCTCCCTTTTGCGCACCCTCTGCGTCTCCCGCCCTCCTTCCCTCGTCCCCTCCTCTCTTCCTTTCTTCTCCCTCCCGCTGCCTTCTTTGCTCCCGCTCCCGTTCTCGCCCTTTCTCGCGCGCCCTGTATTTTTCTTCTCCCTCTCTTTCTCGCGCTTCCTCTTCCACCCGCCCTTCTTCCGCGCTCCCCCTTTCCGCGCGCTCTTCTCCCCCTCGCTGGCATGCGTCCGTCGTACCGTCCCTATCACACACGTGTGTGCGCACTACCGCCGCCCTCCATACAATCACGAGCAGGTCAAGCAATACCCGGGCTACAACTTCATCGGCCTCATTATAGGCCCGCGCGGCAACACTCAAAAGCGGATGGAACAGGTGAGTTACCTTCTTTCTTTATACTTGCTTTTGAAATTTCTTAATTAGTGTATTTATGCCTGATTGTGATTTGGATACGCTTTGAAAGAAATTGCTGCTGATCTTATTTTTCCGTTTGCCATGCATATCTCGTCCTGTTTTCTCACTTACCACTAATATTATCTTGTTTTTTTTGCCCTGGTTGCAGGAAACGGGTGCTCGTATCGTGATCCGAGGGAAAGGCGCAACAAAAGAAGGAAAGGTAAGGCAGCTCGTTGCTCGTGTGTGCCCAATCGCCCTGTCGCCTACCTCTGCCCTTGCATCTCTGACTTGCGTTACTTATTGCAGAAGGATAAGTACCAGGATGGATCGAGTTAGCACCTGCATCTGTATTTTTCTTCACTGCTCACCCTTACCTCACTTCCTTCCCTCTCTAACGTCTGCGCTTGCTTCTCTCCCTCGGATTTTCTCCCCTTGTCTGTCAAGCATAAAGACAAGTACCAGGAGGGAGCGAGTGAGGATCTGCGTGTCTACATGCGGCTGGTCATCCCTCCCTCCAATCCTGTTCATTCTTCCCAACTCTCTTGTTTGCTTGTCATCCTTTACCCCCTGCAGAAGGACAAGTACCAGGAGGGAGCGAGCAAGGATCTGCACGTCTATATCTGCGCTGCTTACCGTTCTCTTTTATGCCTCTCTTCCCTGTGCATCAAGCAGAAGGACAAGTACCAGGAGGGAGCGAGCGAGGATCTGCACGTCTATATCTGCGCTGCTTGCCGTTCTCTTTTATGCCTCTCTTCCCTGTGCATCAAGCAGAAGGACAAGTACCAGGAGGGCGCGAGCGAGGATCTGCACGTCTATATCTGCGCTGCTAACCGTTCTCTTTTATGCCTCTCTTCCCTGTGCATCAAGCAGAAGGACAAGTACCAGGAGGGCGCGAGCGAGGACCTACACGTCTATATCTGCGCGGACAAGCTGGAGAAGGTGGATGCGGCTGTTGACATGATCGAGCCTCTTCTGACGCCCATCGATGTGAGTAGTGTGGTTGCTTGCAACACATGCACACACGCACACCTGGTTATTGCGTCCCACGCGGTAGCTCTTGATAAGCTGGAGAAGGTGGATGCTGCTGTTGATATGATCGAGCCACTTCTCACACCCATTGATGTGAGTGGTCTGTAGGAAGATACTGTCACACATGCACACACGCACTCCTGGTCGGTTCGTGCCACCTGGTAGCCTGAGAGAGCTTGCATTGATGAACGGAACCATGAAGGACGTGCAGCAGGTGTGCTTCCTGTGTGGCAACTGTCCGAATGCTCATGCCTCCATGCCTCTTTCGCGCCCTTTCCTTCTCTATCTTCTCCTGTACCAACAGGAATGGCGCAACATCCACAGGCGCAAGCAGCTGAGGGAGCTGGCCCTGATGAACGGAACGATGAAGGACGTGCAGCAGGTGTGCTTCCTGTGCGGGGAGCCGGGTCACAAGGACTTCCAGTGCCCCAAGGAGAAGCTACAGACGTTCAATGCTAAGGTCAGTGTTACTTATGGTAACCTGGTGGTAACCCGGTGGTAACCAGGTGGTAACTAGAGGAAGAACAGGTGGTAGGACCCTACAGCAGCTGCAGCAGCAGCAGGTGTGCTTCGTGTGTGGCGAGCTGGGTCACAAGGACTTCCAGTGCCCCAAGGAGAAGCTTCAGACGTTCAATGCTAAGGTACGGCTGGGTACTGTGTGACTAGAGGTGAGTAACCTGGTAACCCTATGACGGGAGCCACCAGCCAGGCCACAAGGACTTCCAGTGCCCCAAGGAGAAGCTGCAGACGTTCAACGCCAAGGTATGTCTCATTTGGAGCTGGTACCAAAGCTGGATGGTTGCAAGATGCTAACCAGGTGGTAACCAGGTGGTAACCAGGTGGCGACCAGGTGAATAACGCATTTTGCTTTTGCCCATGTGTTGTTTTGTGAACTATTATTGAGAATCTTCACACCCACCTGTGTGTGTGCCTGTGTCTGCCTCTGCCCTTGCCCACGTGTGGTGGTGATTGCAGGTCACCTGCGCCATCTGTGGAGATGGAGGCCATCCGACCGTTGATTGTCCCAGGAGGAGGGCTGGAGGGCCGCCGGTATGTGCCTGTGCCTGTGCCCCCTTTCTTCCTCCTTTCCGTCTGCTTACTTCTCTTGCTCTTCTGCCTGGCTTGCTCTCCTTCCTCGTCGTTTTCTTCCTCTACCTTCCAACCGTTCTCTTCCGCCTATCTTCCCACCCCTTTCATGCGTCGGTTCTCCATGTAGCTTTCTGTGGTATCTTCTATGCTGCTGATGCCGTGCATTCCCCTCCGCAATGTGCCATTGTAACTCAGAAGTTAAATCGTTACAATGCCACCCGTGTAGCTTCGTGTGGCATCTTTTACGCTGCTGATGCCATTCATTCCCCATTGTTCATGAGACGTCCTTTTCCTACTCCTTCGCTTTCGGAAATACTTGGTGTGCTATCTCTCACGCTTGTTGATGTCGTCCATTCCCATGTTTCTGGTTTTTTTCTCGCAGGGGAGGGGCATGGAGCAGGAGTACAAGTCGTCCCTCAACGAGATTAAGGTTGGCACAGACCGGACCGGACGGTTGGCAAGGGCAGCGGACCGGACGGCTCTGCGTCCTCTTGCGTCTACTCAACTCTCCCGTCCCTCTCCCCCCGGTGCCCCCCTCCCTCTTGTCTCTTGCTTTTATAGCAGCTACGTGAACACTTCTTTGTTTTCCCGCCTCTCCGTCCCTCTCGACTCTCTTTCTCGCAGGGCAAGGGCATGGACCAGGAGTATCAGTCCTTCCTCAACGAAATCAACGCCGGCACTGGCGGACTTTGCTGTTCTAGCATCTAATTACCTCGTTCCTTTCCCCTCCCCCACACCCCCTTTTCCCAATCCGTTTTCTCCCTTGATCGCTCTTTCCTCATCCCAAAGGGCAAGGGCATGGATCAGGAGTATCAGTCCTTCCTCAACGAAATCAACGCCGGCACAGGCGGACCAGACGGAAGGGGCGATGGGAGAGGGGACGGGAGGGGTGACGGCAGGGGGGACGGTAGGGGCGATGGTAGGGGGGATGGCAGGGGGGACGGCAGGGGCGGTTCTTATGGAGATCGGAGGGGTGGAGATGGGTACAGGGGTGGCGGTGATGGGTACAGGGGCGGGGACGGGTACAGGGGCGGTGACAGTTACAATCGCGGCGGTTACAGCGACGGCGGTTACGGTGGTAACCGCGGGGGGCCAGGGGGAGGGGGAGCGCCGGGGGGAGGGTCTTACCCCCCTGGGCGGGGTCCCCCAGGGGGTCCCCCCCCCGGATCCTACCAACCGCCAGGCATGGGCGGACCTCCCCCCGGCCGCCCCGCGCCCTCGTCCTTCCCCCGCCCCTTTGCCCCAGGGCAGGGTCCCCCCGGGATGCCAGGTCAGCAGCCAGGTCAGCAGGGCGCGTACAGCCACGTGGGCATGCCAGGTCAGCCGCCCGCGCGCCCAAGCCTGACTCCTGGTCCGCCTATGGTTCCCCGGGGGCAAGGTCCCCCGCCTGTGGGGGGGTATCCTGCAGGGGGGGCGGGGGGAGCGCCCCCGCCTGGGGGCCCGGGGGGAGCGCCCCCTGCCCCAGGCCCAGGTGGGTACGGTCAGCAGCAGCAGCAGCAGCCGCTATCTCAGCAGCAGCAGTCTCAGTACCCACAGCAGCAGTACCCTCCTCCCCAGCAGCAGCAGGGGTATCAACCTCACCAGCAGCCGCCGCCCCCGCAGCAGCAGCAGCAGCAGCAGCCCTATCCGCCGCCACATCAGCAGCTGGGTCAACCGAGTCAACCCGGTCAACCTGGTCAACCTGGTCAGCCCGGTCAACAGGGTCAACCGCCGTCCAGCCACCCTGCGCCAGCGTGGGGGGATGACCGCGCCAGCAAGCTGCCGAGAATGGACGGTGGGCCGACAGACGCGCCCTCCTCCTACCCGCCGCCCCAGCAGCAGCAGACAGGACAAGGAATGCCGCCCCGGCAGCGCACGGGGATTGGGTACCAGGCCCCTCCTCCTGGCCCGTCTGGTCCGTCTGGGTACGGCCCTCCCCGCCCCGCACCTGGGTACGGACCTCCCTCCGGACCTCCTTCCGGACCTCCCACCGGACCGCCTACCGGACCTCCCTCTGGTCCTCCCGGGCCATCTGGACCGGCCGGGTATGGCCCTCCTTCCGGACCTCCTTCCGGGCCTCCCTCCGGACCTCCTGGACCTTCTGGTTCGGGGTATGGGGCGCCACCGCCAGGCCCGTCCACTGGGGGGAGCTATGGGGGCGCGCAGGGGCAGGGGTATGGGCAGGGATATGGGCAGGGGTCCGCGCAGGGGCAAGGTTATGGTTCCGCGCAGGGGCAGGGGTATGCGCCTGGCCCAGCCTCAGGGGGAGCTTATGCCCCCCCTGCTCCCGCTGGTCAGCAGTATGCGCAGCAGCAGCAGCAGCCTCCCCAGCAGCAGCAGCCGCCGCCGCAGCAGCAGCAGCAGCAGCAGTATGGAATTGCACCTACAGGAGGAACAGCGCCTGCCCCCCCTGCCTTCCCCCCTCCACCCCAGCCTAGCTCTCCCCCGCCCCCGCCCCCCCCTCCGCCCAGCAGCGGGGAGTCCCCTCCCCCGCCCCCGCCCACAGACCAGCCCACGCCTCCGCCCATGCCCCCTGCTGCGGGCGCCTATGGCGCTCCTTCGTGGCAGCAGCAGCAGCAGGGGCAGCAGCAGCAGCCGGGGCAGCCGGGGCAGCAGGGAGGAGGGTTTTATCAGCCCAGCAGCAGCAGCAGCAGCAGCAGCCCCAGGCAGGCGGGTTCGCACCAGGAGGAGCAGCAGCAGCAGCAGCAGGAGGGGCAGGAGCAGGAGGGGTAGGAGGGGCAATTGGAGGGGCAGGAGCAGGAGGGCCTGGGGCAACTGGTCCTGGAATGGGGGGACCAATGGGGGGAGGGATGGGGGGAAGCATGGGCGGACCACTGGGGGGAGGCATGGGCTACGGTCCCCCCAGGGGCCCGCCTACAGGCCAGCCTCCTTTCACCCCCCCCGCTGGCGCTCCTCCCCCCTACATGCCCGGACGCCCGCCCATGCCTGGCAGCGGTTTTGGAGGTGGTAACCAGTTCGCGCCTCCCCCTCAGTGGGGGCCTGGGCACCCCCAGGGGTTCGGGGGACCTGGGGGGATGGGGGGACCTGGCGGCCCCCGCCCTGCCTGGGGACCCGGGGGAATGGGGGGACCGGGGGGAATGGGGGGAATGGGGGGACCTAGGGGGCCGGGGGGAGCTCCCCCTTCCCCCTTTGGCCCTGGTGGCGCTCCTGGGTTTGGGCTGGGGGGTCCGCCTCCCCCCTTCCCTGGGGCTATGGGCGCGCCCAGGTTCCCTGGTCCGGGTGGTTACCAGCAGGGGGGTCCGGTGGGTTTCGGGGGTGCTAGACCTCCTGCTGCTCCCCCTGCGCCTGCAGGGGGACAGGGGGAGGCGGAAGATGCGGAATATGAGAAGCTGATGGCATCGATTGGCGTGCAGTAGTGCTCGGCTGTTATGAAGCTTGGTTCCCTGGTCCGGGTGGTTACCAGCAGGGAGGGCCGGGGGGTTTTGGGGGTGCGAGGCCTCCTGCTGCTCCTGCTGCGCCTGCAGTGGGGCAGGGGGAAGAAGATGCCGAGTATGAGAAGCTGATGGCGTCGATTGGAGTGCAGTAGAGTTGGGGTTTACCTTATCAGCAAGGGTGGGGCGTTGTTACCGGGCCTCCTGCTGCCCCCCCGTCCCTGCAGGTGGACAGGGAGAAGAAGATGCCGAGTATGAGAAGCTGATGGCGTCGATTGGAGTGCAGTAGAGTTGGGGTTTGCTGAAGCTTATTGAAGATATTGGTTTGGGTGGTGGCCGGCAGGGCGTGCAGGTGGACAGGGAGAAGAAGATGCCGAGTATGAGAAGCTGATGGCGTCGATTGGAGTGCAGTAGAGTTGGGGTTTGCTGAAGCTTATTGAAGATACTGGTTTGGGTGGTGGCCGGCAGGGCGTGCAGGGGGAGAGGGAGAAGAAGATGCGAGTATGAGAAGCGGATGGCATCAATTGGAGTGCAGTAGAGTCTGGTCCTGCTGAAGCTGAATGCTGCAATCGGTCTGGGTGGTTACCAGTAGGTGGGGTGGTTACGAGGGTGCCAGGCCTCCTGCTGCCCTGCCTGCCCCTGCAGGGGGGCAGGGGGAGGCGAAGCTGATGGTGCTGATTGGAGTGCAGTAGGAGAGATGATTGGCTGCAAGGAGATTCCAATAGCCGGAGAGTGCTTTTTGAGAATTCTCAAAAAACACTCGCAAGGATTGGCTGCAAGGGAGATTCCAATATTTGGAGAGTGTTTGCAGGTTGCAGGGGTGTGGAGGAGTGGCTGTGGTGGCAGAGGGGTGTAGAGACATGTGGATGTGTGCTGCTGCTGACAAACTCCCGCGAGCGGGTCAGGGGAAATGTTTGAAGTCCTATGGAGGATCCGTTGGCTGCAAGTTTGATTTTGTGTGTGGAGCTGGTTTTCCTTGCCAAACTCGCACTGCCTCCCCTCCTCTCTCCCCTCCTCTCTCCCCTCCCCTCCCCCCCCCCCCCCCCCCCCTTCTCTTCTCCCCGCCCGCTCCCTCACCCTTCCTATCTCCTACCCTCCCCCTCCCTTGCCTCCCCCTCTGCTCCATCTCCTTCCTGTTTTAATGTCCAAGTTTTGCTCATAGTTGGTGAACTTGTGGTGTTATGATTTCCGTATAAAGGGCATGGATGCGCTGGTTGTAAGGGCTTGCTTGGCTGGAAAAATGGATACGTGACCACCTTATTGTTGCGTTGAGATGTGCTGAAGCTCTGCTGCAATGCGTTTGAACCAGGGCCCAAAATTGGTTTAGGCCTACTCTTCCAAATCAGGGTACCAGGCCCTCCTTGAACAGACCCCTAGGGTAAATTTTTTCGTACCCTGCTTTCAGCAGGGTAAATCAACCACTAAACTGATTTGAGCAGGGTAGTGTTAGGCTTAGCCTGTTTTGATTACCGGCGACTTCACTATCGCGTTCCAGACGGAAAAGGAATACGGTATGCGTCGCGGGCCACGACGCGCGGTGCAATGGGAAGCAGCGCGGCGCGCTGCGGGAGACTCCTGCAGCGGGGGACGTTAAATGAATTCATGTCGGGAATTGCGCGCCGAAAAGTATGCTCTTTGTGGAAATCGTGTGTCGAAGAGGTGGGAGTGCTTCAATTTGTTTTTCTCTAACTCGCACTGTAACTACTTCCCCGTTATCACAGGTTCCGTCCTCGTCCCGCAGTGCTTGAGGTCTCAATCAAGAGGCAACGATGCACGAAAAGTGCCTGGTTTCTCGTTCCGTCAGCACACTCCGTAGGGTATCTCTCACGCTACCGTATCTTCTCCTCTCCTCTCGCCCCGTGTGCGCCCCCACAGTGCGGTGTTTGTGGGGGTGTGGTAAATTTTGACACCACGCGGACTGTGATCTGATTCGCGTTAGGAAAGTTTCGGTAAAAGGGTAGTGTACACTGTACCCTGATTCCGTCAGGCTAACCTAAAAACCAATCAGGGTGAAATAAAACATGCTCTTTTAAGAGAAGGGTAACTATCTCGCATTCCTGATTTTGGCAGGGTAATCCTGAAAAAACGGCCGACCCCCAGGGTAATCAGGGCGTTTTACCCTGATATTTTGGGCCCTGGTTTGAACCTGCTGTTAGAGATTTACATTATCTTCTAGTGCTGGACTTCACCGGGGTAACATTTCGTGTAATTACAGCGATGGCATCCGCTTTATGCTTTATCAGATTGGCGTGCCCACGATCTTTCACGCGTGAAACCTCCCCAAGGTCCTGTCAACGAATTTCTTGCAGATCTTGCATACGCCAGCTATCATGTTTGGTTGCCAGGTGTGCCTACGTGTTTGGCTGCTGGATATTGCAATTCCACGAACCTTGGATAAAATGAGGCGTGGCATTGCCAAATTGGCAGTCGGGTGATGCGGGGGAAGAATGCGGGGAAGGCGCACTTCAGTCACCCGAACAATGGCGGGGCTTTTACAATTGTCGCTTGTCTCGCTCGCCGAAGTGGAACTGGTGCTTTGAGCGAATGACGGCGAGCGGTGGAAGCTAGTAACTGTGCTCACCCTAGTACAGTAGGGATGAGAGTGAGAAAAGGATCAGGTGTGGGAGGGGAGGGGCGAGGCGGTTGCGACTTGAGTACGAAACATCTCCTTGCGAAGTTCCAATCGGGTCGCAGGAGAGAGAATCGCACCCCATGTTCTTGGGCAGGTTGAAAAATCACCTGAAATATCGCGAGTACGCGAATGATCTTGTATCCAATCAGAAAGCAAGCGAGTTATGTATTTTGAAATGCCTTCAATCACGTTCGGCACAACGTTACCATATCGAATTGCTGCTGAAGTCTACAGTCCGTGTCGGAGGATGCCCTTGACCTCATTTGATGATAAGCCACGTTCACTGAATACCAGAGCACAGAGCTAATACGCATCCTTCGGTTTTTTTTTTAAGACTTTCAAATCATATCCCTGCGCATTCTTCTTTTTGGCTTCTACCTGGGGTTTGAAACAAACGAGAGACTGCGACCAGAAATGCGAGCAAGTCACTATCATCATCCAAGTTTAGCATGCATCTGTAACTAATACCATACTGAAATAGACGGAATGCACCAAATTCTGCTACTTTCATACTGAAGCGTCCACCCCCAAACCGTGCCGTTTTCGGCTTGCATCATTTCACTAAATGCCTAATACCTGCTTTAGGTTTCTCTCCACAGCCATTCCACACCTGGTGTGTCTTGTTCCCTAAGGTTTCTGCTTTGTTCCTCAGGAAACACAGTGCGTCACACACTTCGCTAAATTACATTCTTGGAAGACTACGGATGAAGTGAGAATTCGGAATAAGCCTAGATTTCGCAGGGACTCCCAAAACAATTAAAATTTCTAGGCACTCTGCTGCAGGCCCCCCTGGCAAGTAATATGTCTGGACGGGAGGAAACTGAGGCTCGGGCTTCCTCCCTTCCCCGCCTTCCTCCTTTCCTTGATCTTCCCCCCTTTCCCCCTCCCCGCTGGTGTTTCCTTCCCCCCGTCCTTTCTGTCTACGTACGCCAACTTCCCCCTCACCCCCTCCCCGCGCTCCCCTCCCTCATCACTCCAATCTTCCCCCGATTTCCCCCTCCTTCCCCCCTCCCTTCTCCCCCTGCCCCCAAACCAATTCCGCCAGCACATTTCACTCCCCTGCTTTGCGCTCAAGCGCGCCTTCCTTTCCGCCCCCTTTACTGCCACCGTCCTCGGGCTGATGGGATGGCATCACTGCCAGCCACTCGCCCCCCCTGCCTGCTCTGCTCATCTCGCCTTGTTGTCTCGCCATACCACTCCACCACCCCTCGCTCGCCACTTTCCTTTGCGCCCGCGCGCCTGTCAAGAAGCGCCCTCCTGCCTGCAGCTTTCTGGCGCCTCCCTGCTCCTGCCCCCCTCCTCCCCCCTCGCTCGTTCCTCCGGCCTGCACCATCACTATCCGTCTCCGCCATACGAAACCTGTTGACCGTGCAGGTGATAATTTCAGGTGGAGTTGAAAAAAACACACGAGGCGAAACGAGACATTACAGACAGCAATCACAGCGTCGCAGAGCATCACGTGGGATAGAGGTATCTGAAAAAACATACGAGACAGGCAAGATATGCACTCCCTCACATCAAGGCGCTAATTCTGCATCGCAGCCGCTTAGTGGGTGACTGTATTTCTTCTGCTTCGTTTTGACCCTCAGACAAGAAAATGGACTGGGTAGGGACTAGTGTTCTCTCGTTCTCTCAGCGTGGTGTCTAGACGTTATAGTCTCAAAGACAAATTCCGAGAAAGATCTACGCCGTAGTAAAACAGTTCCCCTAGTCAATTCTCCGCTGGCAATCCCGCTTAGGTCAAGATTGCGCTGACCCAAACGAGCGAATTTGAGCGCGCGGAAACAGAATTGCGCGGAGGCGAAACGCCGCGGTGGCGTAATTGCGCGGTAATATCACAAGTAGCGCGGAGGTTAGGTAGCGCGCGGAGCTTGGGAAGCGCGGAGCTTAGGTAGCTCGCGGAGGTTGGGTAACGCGCGGAGCTTAGGTACCGCGCGGAGCTTAGGTAGCTCGCGGAGGTTGGGGACCCGCGGAAGCGCAAGCGCGCTTAATCAAAGTAGCTACTGGCGGCAATCGGCAATGTGCGATTGTCTAAGCTCTCGGCGTAACGAATGGCGGTTCAAGAATAGCTCTCGAGATTCGTGAATTGTAATGTGCCCGGCGCGGAAGTAGCGGGAACGCACCGTGCGTGTCCTGGATAGGAGGGAGAACCGCAGCAACGGGGAAATTCTAAGGGAGCAGAAGAGGTAGAGACGAAACGCGCGATTTAAATACACAGGGGGAATCAGTAGGCAACGCGGGAAAAGATCGGCGAGACAATGGCCGGCGCGGGGACGGGCGCAATGCTCGCGCGAGAGGGATTGCACGCGGAAGGAGTTCCGGGGACGGGATTGCGCGGAAACGGAATGCTGGT